GCACCTCATGTATCTAAATGGCTATATCTTTAAGGATATGAAAGCAAAGCTTGTGAGATGATGCCTAAATAAATTACAGAGAAAAGTGCACTGGCACTTCTTCTCACTAACTATGCCAAACATGTGCATAGGTCCAGCAATTGGAGGAGGAAAGCCTGGCTTGTACAAACTTTAACCACAACACTATTATGAATAACCTTGACACTGCAGAGATATGGCATTTGAGGCTGGCTCATACATACATATTAATATTTCTAATATTTAATTTGCACCACTGAAAATGATTGAACGCTCTTGAAATCTTCATATATACACATGCAAATGTAGTCAAATAAAAAAAACTAGGAAATGATTATCTCCATAAACTCCATTCTACTAAAAGTTTATTTGTAAAATTTTACAAAAAATAAAATATTAAACAGTTTTGAATTGGACCACAACAGGAGATTCATATTAAATACAATAATAAAAAAGTAAATAGTCATATTACTTGTAATTGCTGAGCGTTGTGCACGGTCTTCGACCTCAATGGCCACTTGAACAAGCCCTCCTTCTAACTGTGATATGCAGGGAGGCACAGGAGCATCCTGCGGTACATACCAGAACCATATCATGTCTCTTTAATGCAATACTCATTCTAATGCTTACAACTGAAGAGTAACATCACATGTAGAGAGAAGAGAAACAAATAATGATCACACAATTAAATCACGCAGTACTTTGTCTAAACAAATAATAACCTGAAAACAACACGCAAGTGCAGAGAAAACCACAAAACCTCTAACATGCCCCATGTGAAACTATGCAGTTTCAGGCTTATTTACTGTCATATCCACCAACAGGAATGATCTAACTTTCGTAACCTACTAATCAAGAAATAGGTGATAACTGTCATCAGAAGAAACATCCTACCTGTGGGTTGGTTTCAGCAGCCACTGTACTAAGAGCACCATCAACAACATAAATGAAAGAAGCCACTTCCAAATCTTCCTCTGAACGATAGCAAACAAACAGCCCACAACCTATACAGTTCATCCGAAATTGCTTCTCCAATTTCCCTTCACCACTACACAAGAAGAAGTAGATGTTGCAAATAAGAGGTCTTATGCAACTATGATTTGTGTTGACCAGATAAATTTAAGCAAAAGAAATATCATACATAAAATTTTAACAGTTACAGAGCTTTAACTAATGAAACATTATTTAAAGGCAGATTGTCAGCCATAATTAATGAGACAATTACAAAAAGAGTGAAGAACATATTCATATGCCATGCTCACAAGGCAGTAAGGCACAAATAAAATTATTTAACTCAAAGCAGCAAAAAGTAGACAAAAAAAATGCAGAATCATTCGAGGAAATGCATAACAGAATTGTGCATGCAGTTAAACAGAAGTTCATGAGATTAAACTTCAAAGCACTCAAAAGTGGAATTTTTAAGAGAATAGAGGTAGGAAGAATCTCTAAATATGCATCCTAATACTAAAATTGAAAAGCAAAAGTCCACTAATATAAGACTTCAAACTAAAGAACTAAAATATCATAACAGATAATGCTTCTTTAACTTCTAGTTCTATATCCAAACGATGATTACAGACCAGTCCATGGTGCAACTCCTACCAAATGACTCTTAAGTCCCCAAAGCACAGCTGGAGCACAGCTTTGAATGGGTGCCAGCTTCCTAAAGCTCTGAAAAGAGCAACAATTAACCCAAAATTCAAATTAAAAATGCTTAAGAAGCCTACACAGCTAAGGTAACATCATGTTAAACTTAAGAAATCTTCTGTGTAACCGTCCAAACAATTTGAAGAAACAACATTGTTAATTCAAACACCATATTTCCATGAAAATAGATGGTCATGGTCGTCATGGATGCGGCACCAAGTCTGCTTTTTAATACAATGTTCCAACTCATAAAAAATGTCACTAATAATCCAGATATCCAAGTAGTTTATTCAACACCACTTGAAGAAATTCTGAAGATTCTTGTATTATCCAGATATGACAAAAGAAGAGAAAGAAATAACCTCTGTTATATAGTTTACTCTAAAAATATAGCTAACCTATGTGTGGTTGAAAACAAAAATAAAAAAAGTACGATATCATTTGGATTTGATTAAAGTACCGTTTTAAAAGAACTTTTCCGGCATCATTGATGTTCAATCTTGCAAGATGCTTGCTCTTGTCCAATACATAAGCTTTGTCAGTCTTCCTTTTGGGCATTTTCTGCAACTGGGTATCTTATAACAAATATATTTCAATAGAGGATATACACTTAATGGTTAAGATGCTAAAGTGGAATTGTTTTTTGAAGTAAAAAAAAATGCGAATTTCGATCTACATCAACAAGTATTTGACATTTAAAAGTAAAAACAGAGAGAGAACCAGTGATGAGGACGTGAGATCCGCAGTGCTTGCAATAATAAACGAAGAGATCAGAATCAGGGCCATCTGGAGCGGCGTCCTCGCTCGAGTACGTGTGGGTTGTTCTCTTCGGCATTTTCTTCCGTCTCTAGCCAACCCCGCCCAATCTTACATCCTGTAGGAAGCAATTTCAACTTTTAGCTACGTATGATCTATACGGCGTCGTTAAAGGTGTACCAATTCGATGGGTTAACGAGTGACTCCAAGAATATTTTGTGAAAGCAGAGCAGGAGGAGCATACATCAAAATCAAAATTTGGCATATTAATTCCTTTAAATTTATAGTTTTCCAAAAATGGATTTCAGGATCATTCAAATTTCTTTGCAAGTACAGGTTTCCTCGATACCAATAATGTTATACTTACTCACGAGCTTACTAACCGTTTTATTACCTTTGTTAAAATTACATATGATACTCGTACTATGCTTTATATTTACAAAGGATAGTAAGATGGTTAGTAAGATCTTGAGTAACCATAGCATTACTCTTAACTTTATGTTAATAAATTTGAAATACAACTATCCTAATTCCTATCACTCTGCCAGAGTCTTCACAAATATATTGGAGAATTTTTTCTATTTTTTTGTTTAAAATATTAAAAATAATTAGAAAATACAAAAAATAATATTTTAAGAATATGAAAATAAAAACACCTATGGTATGGTTATTTGCAATGAAAATACAAAATTAATCATTTACTTTGTCAATGAAACTCTTTTAATATCATCACTTCGTCTTAAAAGAGTTTGTCTCAACTCTCAAGTATATCAAATTTTCACTTTTATTTACAATTTTATAATAAAAAAATATTTTGAAACAAAGTTTTTATATTACGTAAGAAGATAAAAAGAAAAGGGAAATTTTGAATATTTTTGTTAAAACTTTTCACTCTTACCGTTGACTTCATAATCGAAAAGTAATCGTCATATTTTATTGAGTAAACGACATATTGCCACCCAAGGTTTGACGAAATCTCAAGTGAGTACCACAGGTTCAATTTATTCCAGATTCTCACCCTTAAAGTGACGGAAAAACGTTTGATATAACGGTAAAGGGGTAAATTGGTCATTTTACATGGGCGGCGCACGTTAGCAGACCATCGCCTGTAACAGTCCTCCGGCGCACGTTAGCAGACCACCGCTGGTAAACTTTTTTGCTCTTTTTCCGGCGATTTTTTCACCCAAAATCACCCTTGTCACCACCATTTGACTCCTCCAATCCTCGCCTACAAAACCCCTAACGTTTCCAGCCACGGCAGCTCACCGTTTGCCGTCCACCGCTTCATCGAAAAACGGCCGAAGAACACGAACTCTTGGCCGGCGAATGACGACGAGACGGCAGTTGGGGACATGGGGATTTTATAGATCTGGATACGGTGGTTTCATTGGTGGTGTCCAATTGGATTTTCACCGCCGGAATCGACCGGAATCTGGTGAAGAACATCAAAACACTAAGTCTAACGGTGCCGGCGATTGGAGGGACAAATGAGTCGGGAATGAGAGGGGTTTTGGACGATGGAATACGGGGAAGGTGATGGAGTGACCAGGACGTTCGACGTCGTCGGAAACAGCCCAGATCGGGCTGTTTCCGATGAGGGTGTGTAATTATCGGGGGTGTTTTTGATATAATTTGAAAATAAACTGGTAAGTTTTATAATTCTAATAAATTAGGGGTTAAAACATAATTTATTAATTTAGGGTTAAGGGCATTATGGTAATTGCACGTCCTAAACCCTAAAAATTCATAACACTGTTACTTTAAGGGTGGGAATCTGGAATAAATAGAACCTATGGTACTCACCTGAGATTTCGTCAAACCTTGGGTGGGAATATGTCGTTTACTCTATTTTATTTTATAAGCATTTTGCACCTCTATTGGGCATCTATAATGTAACACCATTTGGGTGTCCAAATTTTGCCTCCAATGCAACATCAAAAGTCACTCCAAATTAGTGTGGATAAACAATATCGCACCAAATTTGATGTAATACTATTTATCTATACCAATGTGATACGATACTATTAATCCACCACAAAACATATTTTATTTCATTATTTTGGTTATTTAATTTTTTTAAAATTATATTTATGTTAATTTTATTATTATTTATATTAGCACTTATAATTATTATATAATTCAAAAAAATATGAAAAATTAAAAACAAAACTTCAATAACTTAAAATAAATTAACACTAATTTAAAAACACTAAAATTATAAAAAAAATTACAACATAAACAATAATAACAATTTAATACAATTAATATAATTTTCAAAGTTATTATTAATTAATAAAATTTATTATTTTTAATATTTAATTAATATAAAAAAAAAATTAGTAGAAGCCCGCAATTCATCCGTTAACCAAAGTTTTTATGTCTGTTTCTCTCATATTACTGATAGATGATTAGTCATATTGATTGGTGCACTGCACTCATAAATTTTAAACGCTTTAACCAGCGAAAATAGGCTCTTCCAGGAAGATGCGAAATTAAGTCAAAATGTTTCTGGCTACATCAAACGAAGCCTTATTAAGTAATAATTGGAGAAATCAGCAAGAGCTCAGCACATCTTACGATAAAATGCTCCAAATATCTCTTCATTAAAAATATTGTAAATCAAATTTAGTCATGACAAACACCACCAAAAAGAGACCAACTAAATGCCAAAAACGATACTCTTAAAACAAAAACAGAAATATAAACATAACTCTTCTCTCAGCAATGGCCATTCACCAATAGACCACTCCTGGAAACCTAACCAGCACCCATCGCCAGGGATCCCAAATTTCTGTAATAAGAATGCCAAATAAGACTAAGTCCGCATACTAGATAACAGTGAAAAGAAAATGCACAGTAAGAATTTGATAAATGAACCATAGAGGTTGTTAAGGCACAAATATATAAACGTGCGAAAATAGACAAGCTTAAGAATATAAACTTACATATCTTGTTGAAAGCTACAATATCGCAGCTCTGGACATACTCATTAATTGGCTCAACTGTCAGACATTCCTCAATCAGAGTGTCAACAGACACCAAATCATCCACAATTGTGAGCATTATCTGCATTTTCTTTATACCATATCCAACAGGTACAAGTTTGGCTGTGACATCAATGAATTAACATATCAGAACATAAAATATAACTTAAAGAAACAGAACAACTTCAGAAACCACAACCATTGGAAGCAATTGCTAGCAAATATACAAGATCCACATTGAATCTTAAGTTCAGAAACCAATATAAGCCCTAGAAAGAATAATTGCTTGTACCTCCCAAGGAAAAGAAGTGATAATACAGCACTTTCTTAAAGTGTAAAGCAAAACTTATCCTCTGAAAAAAGGTAAATTCTCAAGCAAGGTGGTCTCTAGGAGCAATAAGCAATGGAAGATGATTTTTTGCCATATACATCAAAGATATAGAAAACTATATTGGAGGTAGAAAGAGAAAGGACATACATGCTCCCCAGAGCAAACCTTCCATCTGAACACCTCTAACTGCTTCCTCAAGCTTTTTCATATCAGTCTCATCATCCCATGGCTTCACATCGAGAAGAACTGAGGACTTGCCAGCTGAGAGTACAATACAAATACATTTAAAAAATAAACACAAGAAAGAAGAAATTCTTAGTGATAAATATATTGATCAATCAATAAGGTGAGAAGCTTACATTCTTTCTTTTTTGCAGACGCCTTAACAGCAGCTGCACGCTCTTCGGCAGCTTTCTTTTCCTCTTCTGTCTCCTCACCAAACAGATCCACATCATCATCATCATCTGCAGCTGCAGCCTGAAAATCATGTAATATTTAAATAAATATTGAACCATGATTCAAAATTCCATAAAACTGAGAGAACATAAAAGAACAGAACAGAATTTATTTAGGTTTTTTAATACACAAATGCAAAGCTGCACCATGAATAAATAAAAAAGTTTGAACAATTGCGAATTACAAAATTTACATAAAAATGTGGTCATGTGCATATATTATCACAGAACACTAATTACCTTTGAGTCAGCAGTTGGAGGAGTTGCAATCGCCCCCTCTGGGATTGGAGCACATCCCTCCACAGTGACACCAGACCCTTCAGCAGAAACACCACTGAAACAACAATATTATAATATTACTCAAATGGGTTCCCATGAAAATCTTCTTAATTGAAAAATAAATAAAACATGAGCATAAATGAGAAACTAAAGACCCCGTCACATAGTTGCAAGCAATGCAGCACAATGAAGACAAACTTAAACCAAGACAACCATCACTAAGAAAAAAAAACTTACGAAATCCTCAGAAGTGCATCAATATGGTTGAACCACCGAGATGCATTAACATATTTAGATGATGGAGCTTTTGAGAGAGCTGCATAAACAGTAACATCATCCTTTGAAGCTTGGTATCTGATAGAAGTGACAGAAGGAAAGTATTAGAATTAGTCACAAGAATTAATAAACCATCTCACAGCTTCAAAGTTTCTCAAGGATTTCTCAAAGGATAGAGCATAAGGGAATTTACCCGGTGATGTAACTGCGAGTAAGAAGGTAATCGTCAAGTTTCTTCAACCCTGCATCTGAGGTGACATCATAGAATGCAACTGCCATTGCTAGAAAGTATGTGGTATGATTCTGAAGTTATGGAGAAAGATAGAAAGTGCCTATTTCCAATATTTTCAAAATACTCAATAATCAGAACACACTAGAGGAACCACCTATTACAGCATTAGAAGTCCAAATACATAAAGAAAAACAAAAATAACACAGAAGCATATTTGATTTCCCCTAAAAATAACAAAGCACGGGTGGCTTCTCTCATATTCATGCCACCAACGACATAAAACGACCCATAAACAATATAAATTAACTGAAACTGAAATATAACTTTTAGAAAACATGTTCAAAACATATCGAAATTCCCCTCCTTTTGACAAATCCAACAACTAGAACAACATCAACTTTCTGAATTGACATGAATGAGATCCCCATATAACAAAGTAACCATATAAAAAAGCTAAACTACAGCACCATCTCAAAAGCAAATTGAATTAAAAACAAACCAGTCATCGGAATTTAACAAGTATAATACGCATATATACAACTTAAATCATATAGCATTCACATAGAAACGCAACTTAAATCATACAGCATTCACATAAAATCGTAACTTAAATCATACAGCATTCACATAGAAACGCAACTTAAATCATACAGCATTCACAAAATCGTTGAGAAGATTGAAGAACAATAGATCTGTAAATTACCGGGGAGGGAGAGAGGGAGAGAGAGAGAATGGGTGCTTTGCGAGAGAGCGTGGCGAGGTCTAGGGTTTGAGGATCTCGTATATATGAGAGAGGAGATGATCAGGTGTTTCGCGACTTATGAAGTTAATGAAACTCGACCGTTTTTGGCACATCGGGATATTCGTCGAATCGGGTTTTGTACGACCCATGCAATTCGTTGGACCAAACCGGCAAACCCGCGATTTTTTGTGCAAGTATTGAGGTAATGGTCCGATGCATGTAAATTACTAAAAGGACCAAGGCTAAGCTTAATAAAGAAAAGGAAATTTGTTGGTAAAATTGGTCATATTTGAGGGATTATAATCCATATAACCATATTTTTAATTCTTTCTCCATATTAACCACTAATGTTGTGTTTGGCTGGGGTTGGGAATGAGAATGAGAATCTTATTCTCTTATTTTGTTGGGAAAAATGGGTAGAGGAATGTCCATTCTCTCAAATTTTGGGCAATGCCCATTTTAGAGGCATTTTACTTATCCTTGATTCAAAATCAATCCATTTTACCCTTGATTTATTTTATTAAATTAAAATATTATAAAAAGTAAAGTATTATTGTGCCCCCGTTGATATTAGCAAACAACCATTGCTACGTTACTATCATTATTGAGTCTATTTAGTTGAGCTTATGAAAATTAGTTTATAAACAACTAGTGTTTAGAAGTTAATTTGAACTTTTAAACATTTAAAATTTAAACAGTTATATATTTTATTAAAGTATTAATAAGTGATTAATAAGTAATTGATTTGTTTGGTAAAATGTAGTTTATAAATACATTTTATTATTAAAATGACTAAAAATGATACTACATTATTAAAAATTAGGGTATATGATATAATTTTAAAATTAAAAATGAATTATGTGGTAATATACTTGGTTAAAGTAACTTATAAGCAAGTGCTTATAACCCAAAAAAAAAAAATTACATTCCTCCAACTTATTTCTTTTGGGCTTAGAAACCTAAAAAAATTATAAACAAACAGGTCAGCTTAATTTTAAAGTTTTTAAGCTAATTTGACGAGCTTATAAGCTTAGACAAACACTCCGTTGTCAATATTATTAAATGGCAACAACTACACTTAGGAGGTGTTTATTTTATTTTATTTTTTCCATCTGAAAGTTAAATAAGTCTATCAGTTGAATTTGTCTAAATATAAAAGTCTAAGGGATATGCTTGTTTTTTATTTTTCAATGTTTAATTATAAGTATTGAGTTGTTTGTTTTTATAACAATAAAAATTTTAAAAACTGGTGTTTTGACACATGTATCCTTATTATGTATTATATGGCTTTTTTTTACTTGATTTAAACAATTTTAAATTATTAAAATCTAAACAAAACAAATGTTATAGGCTAAATATAACTATATATATATATATAATTATATTATTTTGATATAATTTTTAAAACCTATTATAACCAAAAAAAAAAAAAAAAAAAAAATAACTAAAAGAAGATCAGAAATATATAAAGTACAAGAGTTTCATTAAAATCAGAATTATACAAATTTTATAGGGCTATTGTTAACAAATAAAAATTATTATTGATTAAGATGTTTTTGTATAAAAAAAAGAGCAAATATTTTTGCTTTTTACTTATATTTTATTGTCAGAAAGCTAAAAAAACAAATAAATATAAAAGTTTACGGTGGCTAGGGCTAGGGTAATTTCGCAAGTTTCAAAGGCTGTATATAAATATTATTTTAAAATTTATTTACTTACTTTATACAGTATATAAAATTATATACATTAATAAAAGTCTCATGTACATAAGCTCAAAAATAGTAGACAGTGGTGTAATTTCCCTCCGCTTCTCGACGTCTATCCGATCGTTTCTCACCTATTTCCTACAAAAACAAAGAAATCAATGGAGTGAGCACTAATTGCTCAGTAAGTAAATCCGCTACACTAATCCTCTCTCTCCATTGCTCATATTCTGAATTTTTTCCTTACTTTACTTTTTTTCTTCTTCTTCATTCTCTCTTGGTTCTTTCTCTTTTCTTTCACTATTTTTAGTTCTCATTGTTCTTTTGCTCTAACTTTCTTTGTTCTTTCTATTCTTTCTTTCTTCTAATTTCTCACTATCCATGATAGGAATCATGGTATCATGCATGGATGAGATGCAAATGCACAAATGCATAGAGATGCATTTTCTTTCCACTTTTCTATTTCTTATTCTGTTTTCTTGTTTCTTTTCTTTATTTCTTTATTTCTTTCTTCTTCTTTTCTTTCTTATTCTTTGCATATCAGACTTAGTTGATGTATGGATTCAGAACCCTGGCCGTGTGAGTGAGTACAGTCCTCATCTACATGCACTCTTACGGACTGTACGAATTCTTTTTCTTCTTAGGCCACTCATTTAAAGTGGCGTGCATGTAGGTACTTCTTCTGGGTACAACCCTCATCCACATGCAATCTTACGAGCCGTACAAATTCTTCTTCTTATTCTTAGGCCGCTCACTGAAGACGGCGTGCATGTGGGAATATTCTTCTTCTTGTCACTCACGGGTTTGAATGGCAAAGGCCAAAGACAGTGAAGGAAATTAGAAGTTTCTTGGGACTAGCAGGCTAGTACCGGTGGTTTGTTAGCGAAGCCGTTGACAACTCATACCAAACAGAAAACTCCTTTTATATGGTCAGATGCTTGTGAAGAGAGTTTCCAAAAGTTGAAGAAAAGAGTAACCACTGCTCCCGTTTTGGTGTTACCACAGGAGAGTGTGGATTATGATATTTATACAGATGCCTCACTGCAGGGACTGGGTGCTGTGTTGATGTAGTTAGGTAGGGTAATAGCTTATGCTTCTCGACAGTTGAAATAGTACGAGATGAGATACCCTACGCATGATTTAGAGTTGGCAGTTGTAGTCTTTGCATTAAAGATATAGAGGCCTTACCTATATGGTGCAAAGAGTAATATCTACACCGATCACAAGAGTTTAAAGTACTTTTTCACTCAAAGGGAGCTAAACATGAGACAGAGGAGATGGTTAGAGCTGGTTAAAGATTATGATTATGAGATTAAGTATCAGTCAGGGAAAGTCAATGTAGTAGTTGATGTTTTAAGCTGACCATATAAAACTCCTTTTATATGGTCAGATGCTTGTGAAGAGAGTTTCCAAAAGTTGAAGAAAAGAGTAACCACTGCTCCCGTTTTGGTGTTACCACAGGAGAGTGTGGATTATGATATTTATACAGATACCTCACTACAGGAACTAGGTGATGTGTTGATGTAGTTAGGTAGGGTAATAGCTTATGCTTCTCGACAGTTGAAAGAGTACGAGATGAGATACCCTACGCATGATTTAGAGTTGGCAGTTGTAGTCTTTACATTAAAGATATAGAGGCCTTACCTATATGGTGCAAAGAGTAATATCTACACCGATCACAAGAGTTTAAAGTACTTTTTCACTCAAAGGGAGCTAAACATGAGACAGAGGAGATGGTTAGAGCTGGTTAAAGATTATGATTATGAGATTAAGTATCAGTCAGGGAAAGTCAATGTAGTAGTTGATGTTTTAAGCAGAAAAGTCTATTTGTCCCGACTCTTTCAAACAGGCAACACTAAGAGCATATAAGCTTAACTAAGGGCGAACAAGCATAAAATAGGTTATGTATCTCAATGTGGGCGTTACAAACCACTACTGCTAGCCGCCACTGGTAGTCGATGGAATGGCACACGCGGTTTTGTGCCGACAAAGCCATAAATGGCCATCGATCACAAATCCATGGTTGGAAAACAGTCAAATCTATGGCCGTGAACGCCATATCTGGCCGTTTCCACGACCGGCCAGATCCTGACAGTCATGCACCATTGTGGTGACTGATGGTAGAGATCGGAAGTCGTCCTGGGGGTATTTTGTTAACTTTTAAACTTTTTTGTAACTGAGGTGTTTCAGCTAATCTCTTAAATGTAGGGAGGTTGGGCTAATTCTTATTTGGTAGACATTTGAAGGCAATTGTGTCCGAAATTGTTTTTAAATAGGGGCAAAATGGGTAAAAAAATCATATTACCCCAGTAATGTTTTAATAACATCCCTTAGCAAGGTAATAAGATTACCCCTCACATTACCAACAGTTAACACTATTTGCAATAAAAGATTACTGTAATATTTTATTACTTACAAACCAAACACCGGAATCTTATAAAATAAACGAAGATTACCCCAGTTATCTTATATACCCATGATCTAAACAGCCCCTTCATAGTAATAATTATATGTATATTGCAAAAAATATATGTTATATTACGTTAAAGGTTTAAGATTTAATACAATATTTATTTGAAGTTGTTTGGGACAATGATTTATGTTTTAGAGTTGTTACTACATCTTTTATTTTGCGAGTATGTAATAAGTTGTTAGTATGTATACTTTCTTGTTGAAGCCAAAAATATCTCAAGCTTTTCAAGCATATTTAGAGTTTTTTGGTATGAAACTTTTGGTATTTCCGTACTATCATCCTTGATTATCTATTTCCTTATCTTGTTTAATTCCAGTAATCATTTCTTCTTCAATTAAAACATACATGACTTATTGCTCATTTGCATGATTGAGGAAAATATTAATATCCATTTGATTAGCATAGTGAAGTTGTTGAATTTGATCACTTAATTTCGCAATAACTTTTTGATATCCATTTTTGTACTATCCTAATTCTATTAAAACAATAAATTGAAAATCTTAATACTATTAAAACATGAATTAAAATCCTAATACTATTAAAACATGAATTATAAAACAAAAAATAAGTAATATTCATATCATGAAAAGTAAATAAGAAATTCTAATACTACTAAAACAATGAATTGAAATCCTACTAAAACATGAATTGAAATCCTAATTCTATTAAAATATGAATTGTAAAATAAGAATTCAAAATAATAATTTTGGTAACAACGTATCTATTAAGCTATAACCTCCTCATACTAATAAATTTAGTCGATCCAAACATGATGACTGTAGAGAGGTTCTATTGTATTAAAAAGTGTTTTTACTTTTTTAGTACACTGATATATTAAAAAAACTACTTTCTTTTTCAATACATTAAACTCTTTGTTTTCTTGTAAAATACAGTTTGAAATCAATTATATTTTTATGATTAATTTTTGTTTGAAGGGATGGAAAATAAAAATAAAATAATAATGGATATTCACATTAACAATTCTTGTCTTCAGGTTTGTCTTAAGAAATTCCGTTAACTATAGTTTAAAAAAATTAATTATGTTTTTATGATTTTATTTTAAGAGATGGAAAATGGAATCAAACAACTGAAGTAAAATATTCACGTTAACTATTCTTATATTAACTTCAGGAAATTCAGTTCAATCGTCGTTTAAATTGGAGAGTTAATCGATGGTTAAAAATACCCACCTCTATCAATCGCTATAATTTCCCAATTTAAGTATATGAGAAATATATTGGATATTCTATAAAATAATTTTGAAATACAATTCATGTTTGCCTAATATTGTGACTTTCCTCCCCAGAATCCAGATCCAATAAAAGATGCAGACAGAGTCAGATCCCACATTTGCTTCTCCATTTCTTCTGACGATCGTATTTCAATAATTAAAAATTCAAGGTTGTCACTATAGCACACTGATGGGAAATTACTACAATGAGTTTCCGGGTGTATAACCAAATGGCAACTGATTCAATATACACGTCTTGTATTCTCCACCAGCAATAGCATTCACTCCATTGGTATTGTTACCTACAATGTCCATTTTCTTCACATACATGATACATGCATCTTTATCACCGTGATTTTTGATTCCTAACAATGGAAGTAAATAAGATATCTCATCCAGGCATCCGCAATAAATCTATATGCTGTCAGATTTGAGTTTGTCACGGAAGCCATTGAAGTCTTCGAGATCAAACCAATCCTCCTTCATCTGCAGTGCAGCAACACAAAAAAAAAAAAAAAAAGGGAAATTAACAGTTACTCGAAGAATATGATTTTCCTAGAATATAAATTGGCAGAATGTTGCAAGACGGCGGAACTTACAAAGCAAGTGTAGCCCTCAGTGATGCAAAAATTTTCAGGGGCACCATTCACAAACTTACTTATATAGTAAAGCACGAAATATCCACAATCCTTTTCGTTTCTTTGTTGGGGAACCTGGGTATAATTTGTTTGTCACATGAGTGAAACTTGACAATTAGGAACTCGAAAAGCAACCAAGAGATAAAAGTATTATCACCTCAGGCACCAGGAGAGGTATCTGAGAAACACGTGCTTTGCTTTTTGGCATTGCTTCTGCTTCATAAATGTCCAGGGCAAACCTGAGAATAAAATGAAAATGAAAATGAAACTTGCGAGCCGTGACAAACTAATGTACAACACAAAAACTAATTTAAACTGTGGCAAAATCACATTGCAGGTTTTGGAATCATACTTTCTTATCAGAGGTTCAAGCCTCATTGGGTCATCAGCCATTCGAAGTGAATCTAGCAACAACATGCATGAAGTTTTAAGTTCCAATTGCGAACTTCCACCAAAGTTGCAGATGATCAATAGATTCCAGTGACTCCTAATCATATTAAATCTCAAACTATATAACCCAAAATGACCAAAAGTAATAAAGATTTAACGTCTACAAATGTGAGAACAAAATACCAACCAGAGGACAATAGGAATAAAGACGTATTTCTTTGAGAATATGTGCTTATTCTTAATCCAAGTCAGCACCTCCCCTTTGTAAGATTCTTCCGTGTACAAAGAAAACCATAAGCAGTCAAGATATATAAAATCCGAAATCTTATCTTCTGGAAAATTCCTCCACAAATTCCTATGAAACCCAAAACTTATCATCAAGAGATAAAAGGGAAACCAATTTTTTTCACAGTAAAGTTAAGGAGTCTACCTCAAATAGCAATCAAACAAACCGCTGTTCAACATCCCCTGATGCCTAGAGTTTGCAAATCTGTGAACTCGCCTATTTGACCGTCGACAACGAGGAGAGGCACCTATAGAGCGTAAAGAAATCTTCTTTGAGAAAATGACTTCAGATATTCAATTGGTTGGATGTTTCAGATATGTCCTCTCAAAATATTTACACAGAAATGTGTGTACTGTTGTATGTGGAGTTCTATTATCTTTAATTTGTCTTCTGAAACCTAAAGCGTACCTCTGAAATGTCGTATGTTTAAAAGCTTAATTAATAGGTCATATGTGGTGTTATATTCTTTTGGCCAGAAAACTAATAAGGAATTACTTGTGTTCACTACACATACAATGTGTGTGACCTCTGAACGAATGACCTTGTAGAAATGGTAACAAAATATCATGTAAAAGAGGCACATTGTTTTTTAATATCTCTAGCACAGAATAACTCTTGCTAGAGCTGTTGAAGAATGCCAATAATCCCAAAAACAAATGCTAATTTATGTATCACACTAGCCCTAAACCCTTTTGAATAGAAATACTAATTTCTATACCAATGCTGGCACATTGCTGCAATGCATTGATACCCATTGAAATAAACTAAAGAATATTGTCAAATTAAAGCTCAATAAATTGGTTAGCTTTATAATTTACTTCTCAAATCACTGAAGTGGAAAATAAATTATAGCAATTCGAAATTCAAAATATCTCTTCTAAATTCGCATTAAATTTATCACGACTAAAAACCAAACGTAAACCCTAACTTTGACTCTGTTTCTCTTGACAACAGCTAACATATTATAACTGGAAAGTGCAAACATTCTTCTAAGAAAATGGGTCCGTAGCTTGCAGCAATCTAACAGTAGAGTTAATTTCTCGACAAAACGTTTTTGTAGCCCTAAAACTATTGTGATTATAGGCAAATAAGTTGAAGCATTGACAGTTGATAACCAATTACCTTGTTTAACAGAAATGAGAACAGCGCCGCTTTCGTCGTCCTCTTCTTCTCGAATTTTCCTTTTTGCCATTTGAATCCGACTGGTTACAACTGCTTGAATCCGACTGGTTACAACTTTCTCCCTTTAGAGCTGATAGCTAAAGCGCTGCTTCACGGTTGAGGCGTAATGTTTGGCCGCATGATAGTCCATACGCTTGTCTGGGTTAAGGCTATCCCTGCGCTCTTTCAGGATATCATAAGATTTGATTGTCGTTGACTCTTTTCTGCACTATAATTTGCACAAAAAGTTTACAAAAGGAAAAAAATTCTCCGAAAGAGTATCGCAGACTATCTTTATCTGTATTTTGTAATCTATCATTCAAATAACAATTTTTGAACTTTTAATAGACCCTTAAAGTTTAAAAATTATCAGAAATACCCCTTTACCCTGATTTATTATATTATCATTAGGTTTATAAAACATTTTCTTATAACCGAAGTTCTTATTTAACTCATCTGCAACAAACGATAGCATAACAAAATTAAGGCAAAGGAGCATCATGATATGATTTTTAAACTTTTAAGATCCATTAGATTAAAAGTGCAAAAACCTTAGAAGCAGTTTATAATTTTTTTTTTCTTTATGATCAAAAGTGTCCGTACCAGCTTACGTAAACCTCAACTAATCTTCTGGAATCTTGAAACTATTGGTCTAATAAGAACTCCAGTGGTTACCCTTATTAGCAATTGAGAAGGGAGTTAAACTCGTAATCTCTTGAATAATATATTAAAAAATCTCTATCGAACCACTCAACCACCCAAGGATAATTAATAGTTTATAATATTCTCCCCTCCAAAATAGATACTCAATCAAAAGTATAACCATCCAATAAAACAAATGAGGAATGGAATGGTAAATTTATAAACAAATAATAATTAGTTCCTAAATTTAGTTGTCAAGCTCACAATTAGAGGTGGGCATTGGACCCAAAACCCGGTCCTAGGAGGCCTAGTCCTGTTTCAGGACCAGGCCTAAGGAGGAGGGCCCGAGCCCTCCATTGGGCCCTCCTCTAGTCCCCAGCCTAGGCCCAAATTTTTTTAGATTTTTTTAATTTAGTCCCCTGCACAATTACATAAAACCCTTTATAAATTTTAAAATAAACATAAATTACAAGGGTTAAAATAAAATTTTATAAAATTTATAAAAAAAAAAAAAAAATTTACTAACCGATTATAACCTTTTTTTTGTTTTATCCCTCCCCTCAACTACACTATAAATAACCTTAAAATATTTCATTTTTTCCACACCAATCAATCTTTCATTCTCTCATTCTCTCAATCTCTCTACTCCAAATCTCCAATCAAATTCTCATTCAATTTATATTTATATTTATAATTTATTCATATTATTTATTTATTTATATTATTCAAATTTTCTATTTTTCAATATCATCTCTTATTCAAATTATTATTTAATTTCTTTTCATTTTAATTATTTATTATTTTATCATAAATTTATAATGGCTTCCCCAAATGAGTTTTACGTTCCATCCGCTGAAGAAATGGAAGGGTTCAATTCATTTTCACAATTTCCTCTAGAGGAAGCAGCTGCAATTCCACAACCACATTCGGTCGGGACGAGGTGTAACCAAACACGTTCGAGCTACGAGTCAATGGGCATGGGCATAGCCCAACCCCCCCGATTGTCAAAAAGGGTCGTGTCCGATGTATGGCGACACTTCACCAAATCAAGACGGCCAAAGCCAAATTGGGAGGGGGAGGAATCGTGTGGGATATGTAATTTTTGTGGAACCATTATTAACGCTAAGAAGGGGATTTCGACGATGCGACGACATGTGGAGAAGAAGCACCCCCAAATAATGCAGTTGTCGGATACATCTTCAAGCAGATCAGATAGACAAATTCAAACTCAACTTAATTTTAATCCACAATCCTCAACTCTTTCAACATGGTAATACAATGCACATGTTGCCTGAGAGGAAATAGCAAGATTCATAGTTGCTACGGACTCTCCCATTTGTTTATCTGAAAATCCTTATTTTATTCACATGATTAAAACTGCATTTTGTCCAACATATACCCCTATTAGTAGAAGTACAAGTAGAAAAGATATACTAAAACTTTATAACAAAATAAATAATAAACTTAAAGACGAATTTCAAAATTTTAGGAATATATCTATTGCACTTACATCAGACATATGGGCTTGTAGATCAAAAATTGATTTTTTAACTGTCACAGTACATTTCTTAGATCATAATTGGGGTTTACAACAACAATTGATGGGTTTTAAACCATTATATGAAAAACATAGTGCTGAAACTATTTATTTTACAATTCTTGAAGTTTTGCAAGAATATTTATTAACTGATAGAGTTGTAGCGCTAACGCTAGATAATACAGCTGCTAACACCGGGACAATCTTTTTATTTGATAAGAGATTGGATCCGCGTGGTGAAGACAATTTTTTTCACCAGAGATGTGCTTGCCACATCATCAATTTGATAGTTAAAGCAGGTTTAGATGATATACATTCGAAAATGGAGTGGGTGCTCACAGCTATCGGATTTATTGTCGGCAGTAGAAATAAAAGATGGCAAGAGTACGTCAAATATTGTAAGCAATATGACCCACCGGTTCGACCTTTGAAGTTATGTACGGACATGCCTATCCGTTGGAACTCCACCTACTTGATGTTGAAAAAAGTTTTGTCAACCGCAAAACAAATTACAGATTTCGTCAACCAGAAGCACTGTCCAGAGGAAGTTGTCATCTATGATGATTGGGCGGTTTGTAAACCTTTTTATCAGTTTCTTCATATTTTTTTATGATGCTACTAATACATTAAGTGGTATTTATTATTCTACTACTAATTTAGTGTTAAATATTTTACTTCAAATTGCTAAAACTTTTGCTCAGTATAGATATAATAATGATTTAAGGGAAATTGTTTTAAAGATGGAAGAAAAATATGAGAGATATTGGTTAGATATTCCATTCTTATATGGATTAGGCCATGTTCTAGATCCTAGGTTTAAATTATACGTAATTAACTGTATAATTACTGAGATAGGCTAGCATTTAGGACATGATTATATGTCTTATTTGACTAACTTTAAATAAAAATTGGATAGTCTTTTTTCTTTATATAAGAACAGGTACAATGGAAGTGGAAGTGGAAGTGGAACGTTAAGGAGAGAGGATCCGGACCTTAATGCAGCCCTCCGTCAAGGATCGAGCAAGTAGACGTATGTGGAACTTAGTGGAAGTAGCAGCTCCAGCTCATACATACATAGACCAAATGAGCTGAATCGCTACCTACAAGTGGACCTGCCCTTTATGACGATGAAGGATCAACATATATGGATATTCTTCAGTGGTGGAACCAACATGAAAGTCGATTCCCCATTGTAGCCCAAATGGCACGTGACATTTTATCTGTGCCGGTTTCTACAATTGCATCCGAGTCAACATTTTCAACGAGTGGTCAGATTGTTGAAGACAGAAGATGTTCTTTAATCGATGAGATGATTGAAGTGATAACGTGTTTATGGGATTAGACTCATGCAAAAAGAAGACTACAACAACACCCTAAAGATCCCGAGCTACTCAAACTCTTTAGGAATACAGATTTGAATGATGTAAATATTGTTGACGATAAAAATGAATAATTTAATAAAAAAATTTATTTAATTGTTTATTTGTGAAGCGTGAATGTGTGAAATATGAATTTATGTTAAAAATTAAAATTAACTATTAATTAATTATTTAATTAATTATTTTTTTAAATTAATTAAATTTTTAGAAACTTACTAATCTACCCCTAAAAAATACTAAAAACCCCCTATAAAATTTCATTTCGCCCCTAAAATATATAAAAAAAAAAACAAGGGCCCCGGGGGGGGGGGGGGGGGGGGGGGGGGGGGGGGGGGGGGGAATAAATTATCTAGGCCCATAAGACCGGTCATAGGACCAGTCCTAGGAACCGGTCCGGGTCCTCATATTTCTCATGGGCCTGGGACCGATCCCAGACCCAGGCCTGGGCCTGCTTGAGGCTTGTCCTTGATCAACTCTACCCACAATTGACCACATATTCACATTTATTTCTAAATTTAGAAGTTGGGACTCATAATTGGTCCCATAATTCCAAATTTAACCCAAACAAAGCTGGAAACTGTAAGTAGCAATAATCACAAGTTTCTCTTTTTATTTTGTTTTCAACCCCTCTTGCGCTCACGGTTGTTCACAAACGGACTACTTGGGACTCATAATTTGTCCCTCGTGAATCGTATGCCTTACTTACCCACCCCCTACACAATTGTGGCCCATCCGATCAGAATCTAACGGTGGAATTATACTTTCTCAAGAGGTTAACTAAAATGGGCACATTAATTTCATGTTAATTGCNGGAATTACTCAAGGGCCTTAATTCCAACACGGATATGAAAGGTGTTCCGAAGCCTATGTTTTCAAGACAAACATATACATAGTTGCTCTGGGGAATATGGATGATCTCCTTGGTAACAATGGTAGATGCATCTGCCAATTCCACCGAATCCCACACATCAGCTCCAAGAATGAGATTAAAACTTGGTACTTTACCTTTGCCATCATAATTTCCATACATGAATCTTGCTCTAATAAAAAACTTAATATCGCCAGGAGCAATTTCCAAGGTGTAACAATTTCTTTTGCCCTCTGGGAAGCTTCTCACATTCAAGAATTGTTTTTCAAGGGCAGTACTCTTGTATTCAGAAGAGATATTATTGCCAACACCAGTCCCTGCCAAGGTTGCATCTGAAGTGTAATACAGGCCGGTATCTTCGTCGTAATAGCCAGAATTTTCTTGTGTTCCACAGTCTATGTTAATAAAGCCTGGAATATATAAGGATAAACAAAGAGAAAAAAAAAATATATAATTAAATGGTTGGGAAAAATAACAGTATAACTAAATTCATGCTTAAAGATGGGTGGAGTTATTAAAACCTGATTGACTCTCTTGAACCAGGACTCTGAGAACAAGTGCATATATGAATGCAGAGGCGAACAACTTCTTTAACATCTCCATTGCCAATTCTGTTTCTTCCTGTCTATTGTATAATAATTTATATTGCTGCTGTTCAATAAAATTCTAAGAGGGGGCACTTGCGGAATTTTCAGATTATCCAAATGGATTCATTTGTAAGTAAAAAAGGTGAGCATTTTAGAGACCTCCAACTTGATCCCAGGCCCCAGCTGGAGAGTACGGTCTTGGAAAAGACTTATATGGGACGTGTTGATTAATTCATTGACTTTGGGTTAGATTGTGTTTTCCTCGCACAAAGCTAATTCTCGAAGAAACAACTATATAATGCTTCATAATTCTAAAAACTTTTATTTTAATTGTTTAATATATTTTTATTTTTTTACTTTTTTACTTCTCTAATTATATCATATTAATTGGTAAATCTTAATCAATTTCTTTTTTTTTCAAAATTAAAAACTTTGATACAATTATTTGTTGTTAGATATACTTACGAGAACTGTAATCTAATTTAAGTCTGAAAATTAATAAGAAATTTTATTTGTTAAATGGTTTTCGTTAATTAACTAATAAAAAAGTTTGTAAAAATTAAAAGTTGTATTTATTTTATAATATTAAATTGATTACTAACTATATATATATATATATATATATATGTTGTAGAGTAAATGAGCACCCAAAGTTTGACGAAATCTGAACTTGGTACCCCATGCTACATTTATTCCAGATTCTCACCCTTAAAATAACAGTGTTAGCAATTTTTAGGGTTTAGAGAGTGCAATTACCATTATGCCTTAACCCTAAATGAATAAATCATGTTTTAACCCCTAAATTAGTAGAATTATAAAGCTTACCATTTTATTTTCAAATTATGTCAAAAACAGCCTCAGTCACTACACACCCTCGTTGGAAACAGCCCAGATGTCGAACCCCCTAGTCACCTCCATCACCATCACCATCACCATCACCATCACCTTCCCCGTAATTCGTCATCCAAAACCCCTCTGGTTCCCGACTCATTGCCCCTCCAATCGTTGGTGCCATTAGGCTTAGGGTTTCGATGCTCTTTGTTGGATTCCGGTTGCGGAAATCCAATTGGACACCACCATTGCAATCACCGTCTCTAAATCTATAAAACCCCTATGTCTCTAGCAACCGTTTCGTCACCGTTCGTTGGCCGAGAGTTCGTGTTCATCGGTCATTTTTTGCTGAAGTGGTGGATGGCAAACGATGAGGTGCCGTGGCTGGGAAGGTTAGGGGCTTTGTAGGGGAGGATGCGAGGAGTCAAATGGTGGTGATGATTGGGGTTGACACTGTTCAAAACAGTCGAAAACCGGCAAAAACCATTCGCATGTCATGGTTGCTGTGGCCGGCGATCGATGAGTGATAAGGGGTTATGAAGGGTATGGTTTTGTAGAGGGGAGGATAAGGTTTCAAATGGTGATGACAATGGTGATTTTGGGTGGAAGAATCGTTGAAAAAAGGGCAAAAAAGGTCGGGGACGCCGTTTGCTAATGTGCACCAGAGGACTGTTAGAGACGACGATCTGCTAATATGCGCCTCTCATGTAAAATGACCAATTTACCCCTTTATCGTGACATCAAACTTTTTTTGTCACTTTAAGAGTGAAAATCTGGAATAAATGTAACCTTGGGTATCAACTTAGGATTTTGTCAAACCTTGGGTGAGAATATGTCGATTTACTCTATGCTGTATATACAAATTTATGATTCAAAACTCATAAAACTCTCAAATGTATGCATAATTGTATATAAATATTGATAAATTGAATTAATAGTGTTTATCTTTAAAATTCATATATAAAATACATGATATTTTTAAATAGTATAATTAAGTTGAAATACATATAATATGCATTTATGTATATGTATTAATGGAATTTTAACTATTACATTTCATCTAAAAATATGACATTAAATAATTATTATAAAATTAAATATATTGTGAAAATAATATTGTAACAAGAGCAGCTTGAAAAAGAGGATAACCTACTCACATTGAACTTTTCACTTCTCCAACTGTTAACACTATAACATAGTAACGCACCCGTCAGTCCGTCACTGCCGTGGCGTATTCTAAGAAAGAATCAGAACTAATTTTGCTAACCTAAACCAACAACCAATTCACAACCTTATTGATAAGATGCTATCTTATACCGGTCAGCTACGGCCACTCCCTTCTCTCTGTATAATATAAGCTCCCAATACGGATGAATGCATCAAATTTGTGTGCACCAACGGGAGTACAAGACACAGACAAATTTAAAAAAAAAAAAAACAAAACGATGCTAATAAATATAAAATAATTCCCTTCCTATATAATTAATTTGATTAATTTATGTATTCTCTCTCTTAGTATTGAACAGAGAGAAACAGGAAAGAACCAAAAGAAACACCAAACCGGGAGAGTCATGGTGTCAACGAGACGAAGTGGATCTCTTTCTGGTAACAATAGTAAGAGATCTTCGTCTTCTGAGGATAAGCCGCCGTCACCGAAGCGTCAGAAGGTGTTTATATTTTGTGTTTTATTACCTTTTTTGTTGATTTTTTTTCCTTTTGAGTCAAGGGGTTTGGGTTTTGATGAAACTGTGGGATTTAAGTTCTAAATTCTTGGAATTTAAGGTCGAAAATGGGGGAGCGGCGGAGAAACCGATGCCGGCGACGGATAATTCCAAGGAAATGTGCGTTCCGGCGGCGGCGGATCCCGGAGAATGCGGGACTGGAGATGCCCCGATCGCGGGAGAGGGTGTGACTGGCGGGAAGACAGAGGCCACGTCAGCAGTGGCCATGGCGACACCGGTCGCTGAAGGTAGTTGTTTTCAACTCTTATAAAAATAAGATTGTCAGTGTTTATCATTTCTATGCAAGTGTATTTTTTCAGTGAATTTCGGATTAGAGTTTGAATTTCTTGGAGTTTTTTCTTGGTTTGGTTGGTTCTGTTTCTTTGGAAGGGTCGACACCGGTTGTGATGGAGAAGCCGAGGAGTTCATTCTCTTCTTGGAGTTTATGTCATAAAAATAATCCAAGTTTTGACGCTGCAATGCCTTGGTGCAGGCTTTTGTCTCAGTCTGGACAGGTAATTTGACTATTTGAGTTCTTTATGCCGAGTTTTACTAGTATTACATTTTTTTCATTATTTTTTTCAAATGGAAATCTAATGTAGCTATTTGCGCATCAAATTTTGCAATTAGCTGTAGTAGATAGATAGCCGTGATTTTGTTTTGAGGTGTTTGTTATATATAATATATAATGAGAATATATAACGAGTGAAGCATTCTATGCTGCAGAATGCAAATGTACCTATTTGCTCGTCAAACTTCTCAATTGGATCAAACAGACACTGCGATTTTCATTTAAAGGACCAGGTCATTAGTGCAATTCTATGCAGGATAAAGGATATACAGGTATTTTCTAAATTCATGCTCAGAATGTTTCAAATTTTGTGGGATTTATTGCAAAGCTAAACAAATTGGTGCTGCTGAAAGAGGCATGTGATCCAGATTTTCATTCCTAGTTGGGTGGACCATTTTTGGAGTAGCCTAGTTAGATGCCATTGCATTTAGTATTTGGGCATTTTTTTTTTTTTTTTAATCTTGTTACTGGTAACAATTGGTTTTTATTTTATTTGTGGGGATAAACTCCTTAAATATGTATATGCAGTATGAGTACTCATTATTTGTGGACATGATCAGAGCGAAGGCAGTAACGTGGCCATGCTAGAAAGCACAGGAAGCAAGGGTTCAGTGCAAGTAAATGGGACAATTGTGAAGAAGACTACCAGTTGTGTGCTTAAGTCAGGTGATGAGATCGTCTTTGGTTCACTGGGGAACCATGCTTATGTATCCTTTCCTGTTGTATGAGGGCCATTTGTTTACCTACTTCTTCCTGCTTGTTAGTGATAATGTAGTGCCTTTTTGGTTTTTCCCCACTCCATCTGCTGTTTTCTTTTGTGTTTAAGTGTTAATGTATCTCTTATATGGGTGAATTCCTTAATTTTTCTCAACATAGATATTTCAACACCTCTTGCCTGAGGTTGCAATTAAAGGTACAGAGGTTCAAAGTAGTGCAGGAAAGTTTTTGCAGCTTGAGAGGAGGACAGGGGATCCTTCGGCTGTGGCTGGGGCTTCCATTTTGGCATCTCTTTCCAGCCTGAGGCAAGATTTATCACGTTGGAAATCTCCACCTCCAACCACCGGTAAACTCCACCAAGGGGCTGAGTTGCCTACTCCTGTTGATCCTGATGGTACAGAGGTTGATCTTGATCGTGTGGAAGGCAATTCAGCTGTAAACGGAGAGAATGATAAAGCTGCAGACGTTGGAGCAGCTGGCAAGAATATTTCTCTTGAAGGCAACCAGGATGCTGGCATAGAGGCAGGCAATGTAAAACTCTCTGGGGTGAATGATTTGCTAAGGCCTTTCTTGGGGATGATTGCTCCATCAACTAGTTGTAATCTGAAATTGAGCAAAAGTATCTGTAAACAGGTATTGGACGAAAGAAACGAGTGGAGAAGGGATTCGCAGCCAGCATCAACGGTGGGTATGTCTCTAAGGTGTGCAGTCTTCAGAGAAGACATTCGTGCTGGAATTCTTGATGGTGCAAACTTACAGGGGTCATTTGAAAATTTCCCATACTATCTAAGGTATGATATATTTCTATTTTTCTTATAAAAAATTATATTTTATTTCTGCTATTCTATATTTGTTAAATTTGATGTTTTCAAGTTATTGTCCAAGTATTCCTATAATCTCTTGCATCTTCAACACCAGCATGTCAATTCCTGGACATATTTCCACATGTGATGACTTGCTTTGTTTTCTTGCTATTATATGTAATATTGTTGGGGCTAGTCTAGGAGCATGCACGTCATTTGGTTACAGTAGGTTTCTTCTGGTTGCTGGGTGGAGTATTTTTCAGCTGGATCAAATGTTTTATTTTGTTTCACTATGCATTCTTGTAGTTGCTGGGAGTGCTCAAGTTATATTAGCACGTTCATCTTCAACAGTGGTTTTATATTGCATGGTTTTTATTTTATATTAAATAAATGCAATATTAATTTGTGGGTTCACCTTTTCCTACTGCAGTGAGAATACAAAAAATGTGCTGATTGCAGCTTCATATATACACTTGAAGCACAAAGAACATGCAAAGTATACTTCAGAGTTAACTACTGTGAACCCACGGATCTTGCTTTCTGGTCCTGCAGGTGTGTTGATATTTGGCTACCATTATGCTAAATACAAATGTTTTGTAGTCTGTACTACTTCAATTAGTGAATCTGAATTTCACATTAGGTTTTTGCCTGTGGATATCTTTTTTCAGGGTCTGAAATCTATCAGGAGATGTTGGCAAAGGCACTTGCACAACATTTTGGGGCTAAATTGCTAATATTTGATAGTCATTCACTTTTGGGTGTAAGATAAAAATTATCTGCTTGACTCTGTTATGTGGAATTAGCTCTCATTTATACTCTATTTGCCTTGCTAGGATCTATTTTAGTTAACATTATATCAGATTATCAGAAATTAAATCTTGATTGTTGAAATTAATTTTCTTCTTGAAGGTATTGCAACTTATAAGAGGAGAAATTCTGATAAGTGGCTAAATTATTTATTCATGTGTTGTAGGGTTTATCTTCTAAGGAAGCTGAGCTGCTGAAGGATGGATCAAATGCTGAAAAATCATGTGGCTGCCTTAAACAAGGTCCTATATCCACTGATTTGACTAAGAATGTGAACTTGTCTGTTAGTGAATCAGATGTACCTAGCTCTTCAGATCAACCTTCTTCACATGGTCCAGAATCTCAACCAAAGATGGAGACTGAACCGGTACCAGCTTCTGCCGGGACATCTAAGAGTCACATGTTCAAATTAGGTATGCTTGTGGACCTAAAAAAGAAAATGGATGGTATGCTCCTTAGAGTTTTGTAGAAGCTTTTTCAGTTTCCGGTGTTCTTTCACATATTGAAGTGCCGGAATTATCTTGGGTTCCATCTTTGGTGAAATTTTTTTGAAAATAAACATGCAGGTGACAGGGTAAGATACATGGGTTCAGCTTCTGGTGGCATATATCCACCGTCATCTCCTGCAAGGTGCATTATCTGCTGACAATTTCCTGGGGATACTATCGTATTTTACAAAAGAATATTTCACCTTAGTTGCTATTTTTCTTGTCAGTTTCTGTGAATCTGAGTTGATCCTGAACTATGTTGACATTTGAGTGGGTCCTGCATCTTGTGGAATAGTTGCTTTATAATTTTGCTAAGACCCTGTTTCTTATTTGTCACATCAAGTGTTTACTTTTGGTTGGATCACATAGTTTGATTTATGAAACCTCATGACCCTGGCATTCCTAGTGTGTCTGTATGGATAATTTGCTTAACGTATCACATTATTTTATTGCAAAGATGATTATCAATCATAGTAATGATGTAAAAGAATTGAGAGTTTACAAAATGAAAGAGAAAGCTTGTAGCTAAGTAAGCCTCTGGTTGAAGGAAATAGGGCCCAATAGAAAATCTAATTTCAACTTTAAGATTTATCTCTCATTCTGATGTTTATTGATGCAACTCAAATTTAACTTGGTGTCAAAGTTGATTATGCTCTTATGATTTATATGTAGGGGCCCACCTTACGGCTTTCGTGGAAAGGTTGCATTGCTATTTGAAGAAAATCCTTTGTCAAAAATTGGTGTAAAGTTTGATAAACCGGTACTTGATGGTGTTGACCTTGGTGGTTTATGTGAAGGAGGTCAAGGATTCTTCTGCAATGGTAATGTCAAACTCTGCTAGCAACATTCTCTGAGTTAGACTATGTATGTCCTGTATTTTTAAGTCTTTTGCCTCAAGTTGTGCACTCTCTTTCTCTCTATCTAGTTACTGATCTTCGTTTGGAGAACACTGGTGTGGAAGACTTGGATAAGTTACTCATCAACACACTGTTTGAGGTAGCATTTTTTTTTTCTAATAAAAAAGCCTATTTATGTGTGTGTAGCTTTGTGCTTCTATTGCATGAGCTCACAATTGCCTCATTTGATCTTGTTTATCAGGTGGTGTACAGTGAAAGCCGAAGTTCTCCGTTCATTTTGTTTATGAAAGATGCTGAGAAGTCTGTTGCAGGAAATTCAGATTCATATTCCACATTTAAAAACAGATTGGAAAAGCTACCTGATAGAGTGATTGTGATTGGTTCACACACTCATTCTGACAATCGTAAGGAGAAGGTAATGTTTTCTTGATTTACTGGGTTATGGTGAAGATCTTATGAAGTATCATGACCTAAGCATCTGACTCAGTTTCATGTGTTCCTGAAAGTCTTGATAGAAACAATAAAGAAGTAAAAACTTTGACAGAATTTCAGTG